GACTGTCTTGGAAACATGGTCTCTTTGCACAGTCAACAGTTCAAAGAACTGAAAACAACTGGGTTAAAAGCCACGGGAGGGGCCGAGCCCCTGACCATTAATGCTTTCAAGTCCACGACTGCGTCACAAAGCAAGAACCAGGAGCACCCAGGCCTCGCGAAAAGCTACTTACGACTGAGGCACTTTCACCCGTGAATGAATCAGAGCTCAGGAGCTGGGGCCAGATAAAGAATGCCATCCCCATTTTCAGGACCAGGAGGTTGAGGCCCAGAGGGGAAGTGAAGCGAGGGGATCGGAGCTCCTAGGCCAGAACTTTCTCTGTTAAAATAATCTGCTGCTTTGCTAAGCTGGGGCTTGGGAGAGGCAGAGCGAGTCTGCCGGCCACAAGGGATTCTAATTTGCTGCTTGGAACCAAGTCCTGGTGGCCCGAGCTGGAGGCTGACATCATGGCAGGGACAAACCCAAGATGACCTCTTCTTCTCTCTCTTATTTCCTGTTAATATTCTGATAAGGGCTCTGATGTCCTCTCTCGATTAGGCCTGCGTGCCATCACCACGCTGTTGGCTAGATCTCCCAGATTCTCCTCTGAGCACACAGCGGGCTGCGTGCCACTGTCCCCTTGAAAGCCTCACGGGTATCTTACTTCAGCCACTGAAATGGGTGGAAGCTTTAAAAGCAGGTGCTCTTGGCCTTGTCCTGTTTCTTGCCACCACGGTGACAGGAAACGTCCCAGTGACAAGGCCCACCATCACCAGGAGCCTCTGTTGGCCTGGATCTAGAGTGATGGGGTTCCATGATGACGTGGGTGACCTGCTGGGACACGCAGCACAGGCAGGAATGATGCTGTATGGTCACCGCAGCAGAATCAAACTTGGCTACCGGAGTCGTGAAGGCTCGGTTCCCTGAGCTAAGGTGATGGCCGCAGGAGCTACAATCCTGGGAGGAGAGCAAGAGGTGGACGAAGGGAGGTTGGCCAGTGGTCCACTAGAATACAAGCTGCCCAGAGGCAGGGACCAGTGTGGATAGTTTGCCAACAATTTCATCCCAGAGCTCAGGAGCGCACCTGAGAATTGACAGGTGCTCGTCAAATGTTGAATAAATGGACGAATGGCCTGAGGTGAGGGAGGCACCGCGGAGGCGAGGGACCTGAAGGTCTCCAGGGCCACTCCTCACTCGCTCCTTTACGAACTGCCAATGGTCAACCCTCAGTGCTTGGAAGTCTGCCACCATCTCCCTCCAATAACTAGAGTGGACAAAGGACACTCCAGGGAGAGCCCCAGGATCAGGACGGGAACCAGTTTCACAGGAAATGGGGAAGGAAAGCTCTCAATTGGGAATTTATTTTAAAACATGAAACTAGAACCGTGAAGATAGAATCTTATATGGGGACCAGAATAAGACTGTACTAATAATCGAGGGCAAAGACTCTCAATGAACGAAGAACAAGTGGAGTATGGACCGGGTGAAGGGTGCGGGGGATGATTTTTTGGGGACAAAATGATATGTTGGCAACACGGACTTTTAATTTCAGACTTCCCCATCACGGCCTAGAGCCGGAAGTGCCCAGCGCGAACTCACTGGAGTCAGTTTCCTCTTGTTTCATTGATGGGCGGCCAGGTGCTCATTCGGCTAAGACATGGGGCGGGATCCAAGGAACCCTCCAATGTCCCCTTTGCGTGGCCTCATTAAGTCCCACCACTTTCACAAGGTTTCAGTCCCACCGTGCAGTTCTTTGACTTGGGTTCACAGAGAGCGCAATGGACATCCCTGGTGAGTGATGGACCGGGACTGGCACTGGCCTTGAGCCAACAGATATTTATACAGGAACCACTTTATAGGTGGCCAGTTCACTAACGCTCTTCTGTCCTGGGGGCTACTTGAAAAGCCTCCCGCCTCCCATCTGTGCGGCCCTGCCATGGACTAGGCAGACCCCTGCCCGGGGGCCGAGCAAGGATGCGTACCTGGGTGAACAGGTGGACCTACTCCTGCCCTGCAGCTGCTCCTAGCCATGGCCCCATTCTAGGCTTTTCTGGGACCATGTGCTCCAGAACCTGATCTGGTCTTGTGCCTGTCACTGGCTCCACAGTGGTCCCAGGTAAGGAGCCTCTTGGCTGGTGGTACCAGGGTGGCATTAGGAAGTGGGGAAGAGCCTGGTATTGTCATTCATAGCCCAGGCTCTAGCAGAGGGTTTTCAGATGGGAGACGGGATTGGGGTCCCTCTAGACCCCCAAGTCCCCAGGGAAATTGCAAGAGCTGAACTTCCCCAGGCTCGCTGATTTGTCTTCCTGGGGTGCTGATGGCCCCCCTGCTCCAGGACTCCCAGGAGCCTTCACTGGAGCCAGACTCCATCCCTAGCCCACTCTGGCAGCCCAACCCCACCCTCCCCCAGGGATGTCCCGTTTCCTGTGCTGGCCGAGGCTGTCCTGCACCCTCGCCCTGTGCCCCAGGCCTTCCTGTCCTGCTGTGTCCTTTCAAGTCTTGCCTCCTCTCTGGAGTCTTTCCTGATGGGTCCTCTGAGCCCCTGGGACTGAGCGTCACTCAGCCTTGCCCAGCTGCAATGCCCTCCTGTGTCCTCTAGGGGAGCCACAAAGGTCCTTCTTGTTTTCTCTCCTCTCCTGTAGCTCCTGCTGGGGGGACACTGGGCGAGCCTTCTAGTACATCTACCTTGTCCCTGGTGAAGGACTCTGTCCTTCTCTCTGTGCCCTTAAACCTAGCTCCTGGCAACCTCCAGGAGCCCCTTAGTCTTCTGTAGAGTGGAGATTAAAGCAAACACCATGGGAAGGGGAGGCACAAGGCAGGGGACACACCAGGTTCTTGTTCCTGTCCAGTTGTGCCTTCTTGATCACTTCCTCAGAGACAAGAGACAGGACTCTGGGGTTCATCTCAGGATTGCCTCCTCTGCCAACTCTCTGCTCTCTCCCCAGGTGGTTGACCCTGGCCCTGCCCCAGTGCACGGGCAGGTGTTGGTGAATGTGAACCTCTGATGGGGCCCTTGCCTCTGTGCCCCAGACCATCTCAGAGCCTGGGCACTCACCTCTTGGATCTCAAATCTAATAGCCCTTTGCACGGGCACTGGCTGGCATGAGCTTGGAAACTGATCTGTCCTGCTCCACGTGAGACTGCAAGCTCCTCAAGGGCAGACCACTCACCCTGCCCAGCGCCTGGCATCAAGTGGCACCCAGTGACCACATGGTGTTCATCCCAGCCTGTCTCTTCATTCCAACTGACTTGCTGGACACTTGCTGACCCAGACCTCTTGTCCCTCCGTGCTCTGCCTGTGCTCACACCCAGCCTGGCCCGGCTCCTTTCTGTCCGTCCCCATGGCCACGTGCATCCACTGTTTCCTCCGAGTCTCTATGTTGACACCACCTCCTCCTGGAAGCCTTCTCAGCTCGCCACTGAACACCCTGATCTCAATCTCCTCTCCTTAAGAAATCCAAGAACCCAGAGGGTTTTGTGTGTTGGCCCTGCTGCTGGGCGAGAGCTCTGGGTAGGGACACAGCCACTTTCACTTACAAGGAGACAATGGGATGAGAGGCTCTGGGCACCCCCGGTGACCCAGAGTCATGCTTAGTCCACTGACCCCACTGGGCTGCTCTCAGCCACCTGGGATGTCTGTTGACAATGCCCACATCCCTTTCCCAGTCTGGATGGAGCAGGGATGAGACCAGGAGAAACCAAATCAACCCAGCGAGGCCTGGGGTTACTGGAGGCTGAGGAGAGTGAATCAGAGGGAGGGGTTGAGCAAGAGCCCAAGGCCAGGGTCCTGCCCTGAGTCCCTGGGAGCCTCTTCCAGCGATCCTCTTCCCAGCGTGTCCCCTCTCCCCGAGCATCCAGCCTGCACAGAACCTCAGCCAGTGTTCACGGTAGCAAGAGGCCAGCCGGCGGGGAAGGCGCTCAGAGAGAAGCAGCAGGAAGGGGCCAGGGAGGGCCAGAGTTTGGTTCCTGGGCCCAAGGGGTGGTCAGGCTAGTTGGGGAGCACTGAGTGGACATCCTAGTCTCTCTGGGCAGGGTGCCTGTGTCATTGTCCTGGTAGGCATCTCTGTCTTTCACCCCCCACCCTCCAACCCTGACAACTTTACCAACCACCTGGCAGCTGATGGCTGGAGGAGAATCTTCTACGGCCTTTACATGGTCCAGGTTTGGGCTGTTGTCACACATTCTGTGAGGCCACAGCCCCCTGAGCTTCTCAGCTCCTGAAGCTAGGGCTGGGGAGGAGGCTCAGAGCCCAAGCCATCCCCAGTCCAGGAACTTGGTCCTTCTTGCACCAGAAAAGCAGTGGGGTCTATAGGTCCACCCCAAGGGCACGATGTCCCCCACCTTGGGCCCTGGACCATCACTTGAGCAGCATTAGAAATGGCCAAAGCACTCTCCCTGGACATGGAGGCAAGCCAAGGCTGGGTGACACTGCAGTCACATGTCAGGCCTCACCCTGCAGCCTTGGGGTCAGTTTCAACCCACAATCTTCTGCACAGGTGTACATGTTGGCACACATAACACACGCATGCACACACATGCGTACACCCACACTCTGCAAGCCTGTCGGTAGGTCACGGGCATCCCACGCATCCCCAAACATGCAAAAGTATCTATACATGCACCTCAGCCCCCTACCACCCGCTCCATATATGTTACACTATCCTCTAGGGACACTCCCAGATGCCCCCATATACTTCTCAAGAACACATCTACACACACACACACACACACACACACGTGTGTTCAGCTCTCACTCCCAACACTGCCAAATGCAGGAGCCTTGTGCCCTTGAGCTCTGGGCCAGGATAAGACTGCAGCTCACCCGTGCCCTTTGGCCTCTGCTCTGTTCCCATGACCTGGCTGGGTTCAGGCAGGTGAACCCAGGGAACAGGCTCCTGTCCTGGCAGAAAAAGTGAGGAGGGGCCCTGTGCGCTAAGTCGCTAAGTCGGCGCGGAAGGGAGGTTGTGTGTGGTGCGGGGACAGGCGAGTGGTGGGGGGCGGGGGTCAGGCTCAGAGCAGGACAAGCAGGAAGGTGGCCATTGCTCCTCAGAGTGGAGGAGGAGGGCAGGGAAGGTTTTGGCCGCCGCCCCCTCCTGCGCCTGGTTCTGCGTTGGGCTGGCAGGAGCACCGGGATGGAACTGTTGGGGCTGCCGCAGGGACATTATGACGGGACTTCCAGCAGGGGCACAAGGTTAGCAGACACCACACTGCGCCCGGCGCCAAGTCCCCCTTCCCCCGCCACTTCCCTCCGCCCCGCGGACCCCGGTCGGTGCCCAGCCTCCTTACCGTGCGGGCGCCTGGGATGCGGGGCTCAGAGAGGAGTGCGCGCTCAGCCAGAGGCTCGGAGACCTTCACTCCAGCACCGGAGGGCAGCGGGCAGGAGCCTGGCAGCTGGGGTGGGCAGCCCACAGAGCTCCTGAGCACCCCCAGGGCCCCAGAGGACCCAGCGGAGGTGATGGGGACAGGGAGATGTGGGAAACAGGTGGCAGGATGGGAGGCTGAGAGAGGGAGGAGTAGGGAGGCAGAGACAGGAGAGAGAGAGACACCCGGAGAAGAAGATGCAGACAGACTCACAGAGCAAACAGAGGAAGAGGGACAGAGAGGAGGGGGAAGAGAGAGAGAGAGAGAGAGAGAGAGAGAGAGAGAGAGAGGAAGAGAGGGAGAGAGGGAGCGCAACATGTGGTCGCCTTCTCCCACTTGTAGCTGGAGCCTCCCCAGCCCCTCCCGTGGTGTGAGCACACCGTGTACACACTTGGACACAGAAGCACACTAACTCCGCTCCGTGCACGCTCACACACATCCTCAGGAGCTCAGGACAGCCCAGGGCCCAGCCCTCCTCCCCTTACCTTGCCCCAGAAGCAACATGTGTGTGGGCCAGTGCCCCCTCTCTGCACAGCCGCGCCGCCTCCCTGCACCCAGGGCTGCTGGAGGGGCCACCAGGGGCCAGGCTCCAGTGCCCAAGCCCAGGCCGCTGCCCTGCCGGCTGGCCTGACCAATGCCCACGTTGCGCGATGGCTGCTGAGGTGGCCTGCAGGAAGCAGAGACATTTGTTTTGTCAGAGCGTAACCATGACAATCACCCCCTGCGCACACACTACTGGCGCTGTCCCCCTCCCCTCCCCCCTCTCAGAGCACAGGAGGAAGCCGAGGTCACTTAGCAGCCCCTGCTAACTCCTGCCCAGTGAATAGGAAGGATGGCCAGGGCCACGCCTGTGATATGGGCCTTCAGGCAGCCCTGCCCGGCCCGCAGGTCTGTCTCCAGGTGATCCCCACCCTGCAGGGCTCTCAGGGTCCTTCCCCTCTTCCCCCACCAGCTCCTCCGGTTCCCCTGCAAGTCCATTGTTGAGCCAAGCTGTCAATCCATTCCCCGCCCCCCAGAGGTCATGATGCAGCCAAGCAAGTGGTCCTCCTTGGGCCACGCCTGCCAAACCTTCAAGTCCCAACCCCAGCTTGCTGCCCGAGTCATGCCAAAGTTGAAAGGGAAATGTCTAGGTGTTTAGGGGTAGTTTCTGGAAGCCTGCCCACGGCCTTTCCATGATCAAGGACAAGTACATTTGGAGGCACAGGGCCAGACAGGTGGGGCCGCAAAACCTGAACCTGAAGTCTAAGAGTGTTCAACATTGAGAAGACAGATGCCTCAGAGGTACAGGAGGGAGCCAATGACCGCTACTTACACATCTCACTCAACCATTATTAAAACAAAAAAAGAAGAGGGTGTCATCCCACGTTTACAGAGAATTGCAGTTCAGAGAGGGGGAGTGTCTTGCTCGATAGCACAGCAGGGATTTGAACTCACAGGTACCTGATTCCAACCTTAGACAGGGGCCATTCTATCCCTTTTGCCTTTTATTGAGGCCCTTGTGTGCCAGATATTCCATTCCCACTGTTCTATACCAGACACCAGGAAGTAGATGATCTGCTTATTTTACAAATGAACTTAGGGGGTGAAGTGACTTGTCCAAGGGCACACAGCAGCAAGTGGAAGAACCAAGATTCAACAACCCTGGTCCGTCTGACTCTACCTCTCTATCCTGCCTCCTTCACCATATTCCAGGCTATATGCAGGATGGACCAGCCACCCCTTTTCTGGCTTCTCTTCCTAGAGGGTGGACTCTGAGGGTACGCTAGGGATAGTGTGTGGATGCTAGCAGGAAAGGAGCAGAGGTGGTACATGGGGGTTCAAGAACTCCCCCACGGGGTGACAGACGACATGTGATCGTAGCTAGAAGCTCACAAACAAATGATTCCACCATTAGGGGGCCAACCTGAGGATTCCTACCTCCAGTTTCAAGTACCCGCACCCCACCTGCACCTCAGACCTTCATTAAACACGGGGTGGGGGGCTGAGGCCCTGAGGTCTCTGTAGGGGCCGGCCAGCTGGGAGGGAAGCCGGGGCAGAACTCTGGAGAGCAGCGTGGAGGGAGGGCCTGGGGGGTGTGGGAGCAGCTTCCGGAGAGAAGCAAACCCGCTGTCAGAGAAGGAGTGGAAACGCAGGGTCTGGAGAACGGAGGCTGCCCTTGTTCTCGGGGGACTGAGCAAAGCGCTGGGCAAAGCTTGCTTGGTGGCAGGTCTTCCTGTGACTTGCCACCCACCAGGCTCAGGTTAGAGCTTGGGAAAGTGAACTGAGTCCCGGGGGTGGTGGTGGGGAGGCAGCCCTCCTTCCACCCTGCGACCGGCAGCTCTGGACTCTGGGAGGCCTGGCCAGGAGCATGACCTGAGTTCTGATTCAACCATACTGTCTCCCAGTGTGAGGGGTAGGTCCAGAGGGCGGGGGCGGAGACTGAGAGGGGCAGCGTCTGACATGAAATCACAGCCAAGAAGGGACAGTGCTGGGATTCAACTCCGATCGCCCGTGGGTTGGACTCCAAGTCCAGCACTCTTGCCAGCCTGTCGCATGGCCTCATGAACCGTAGGGAGGCCTGGGCAGCTTGTGGGCTCAGAGGCCCCAGGAGGCAAGGGACCAGGAATTTTAGACATAGCCTCTTAAAAAAGCCCCCCCCCAACCCCAAAGCTCCCAAAGCCCAATCCTCAGACCCTGAGAAGTTCAAGATCTCTGATCCTCAACCAGCCCTCCATTCAGGCTCCACGTCCACTGATGGGCCTCTCTCCTCCACCATCCCAGAGTTTGCATTTTAGGACCAGGACTGTGTGGGACAGTATGTCAGCCTGCTTGAGTGGCTATAGGACCGTGGAGAGGACTGGGGAGGGGTACTGGGTGGCGACGGTAGGATGCTGACTTGGAGCTGTTTTGCAGAGCTGCCTCTTTTTGGAGTCTCTGAGATTTTCTTACCCCAGCACACTCATTTCCTGGGGCTGCCATAACAGATGACCACAAGCGGGGTGCTCAGACCCAGAGCATTCACTCTCTCACAGAGCATCAGGGGGCAGAGCTCCTTCTAAGTTTCAGCCAAGGAGTCCCTCCTGGTCCCTCCTGTCTGCTGGTGTTCACCAGCAATCCTTGCCATTTCTTGGCTTGGAGATGCACCGCGCCAATTTCCACCTCTGTTTTCAGGTGTATCTCCTTTCCTGTGTCCCCGTGTGTCTCTCCCCAAATCTGTGCTGCGTTTCTGTCATGGAGATGTCAATCAGGGGCCATCCTCACAGCATGACCTTGTCTAACAGAGAACTGTAAAGGCCCTACTTCCAAGTAAGTCCACATTCACAGGTACCAGGGGTTAAGACTTGAAGATTTCATTTTAGGGGGACAAAATTCAACCCATAACACCCATTCAAAGGAGAGAAATGACATGGGACAGGCATGAATCCAAGAAGATAGATAGTTGGTCTTGCAGACATCTGCAGGGGACAGGAAAACAAGCAGCCCCATCATCTGGTGGTTAAATGTAGACTTTGGTGCTGGATTTCTGGGATTCCAACCCTCGCTCTGTGTGTCCTTGGGGAAATGGTTTGCCCTCTCTGGATCCCAGGCTCCCCTCTTTAAAATGTTGATGCCTTGAAAGAGTACTATGATCATGAAATGAGTTAATGTTTGTAAAGCACATAGGAGAGCAGGACACTTAGTGAGTACCCTGAGTGTTTGCTAAAAAAAAAAAAAAGTACTAAATGGACCAGAATTACTGTTTCATAGGTGTGAAAACAGATCCACAAATCGGAGTGAGTTCCCCCAGGTCACCCAGTTGGGTGTGCAAGGCTGTTTCTCTTTCCTTCCTTCCAGAGTTGCCCTCTGGGAAATGAAGTCTCCTTCCCATTTATTCTGCAGTTGGAGGAATCAAGGCAGGTAGTCTGGAGGGGCAGCAAGAGCGGAGGAGCTGTGCGCAGAGGGTAAGCAGGGATCCTGGGGGGCAGAGGTGATGCCTCCTCCCTCCCCCAGACACACACCTCTTTCCCACCCACCCTCTGCTTGCAGGATCGGAAGTGGTTGAGCGACTTTTTCTGCCCACACAGGAAAACAAGCTTCTCAGGCTGGGAGAGAAGGCAAAGGCCTGTCTCCAGGGACCCAACCAGCCAGGGCCGGTGGCAAGATCAGGGAAGGTCTAGAGGGGACATGGGGACTCAGGGGGGCTCTTCCCCAGAACATCCTGAGCAGGGCTGCACAGGCATCAGAGCTGAGGACCCCTGTCCCAGTCTCGGTTCCGGAAAGGAGCCCCACCGAGTGTGGCTGCAGGTCTATGGGCGAGAGGCAGGCTTTGGGGACAGGTGAACTGGTAAATGTCACATTCTTGGCCCCCAAATCCTCATGAAATTTTTTTTCTTTTTTTTACTTTCCTGTTTCAATCCCTCATCTAGAGCAGGGAATTGTATCAAAGTCCCCAATTTATCACACACACACACACACACACACACACACACACACACACACACAC